GAGAGAGAGAGTGTGTGTGCGCGCGCGTGTGTAGGCCTATGTAGGGTGGGGGGGACACCAGACCAGTGTTCCAGCATCAGGACAATAAAGAAAGACTGATCTCTTCTTGCCTCAACTAAACATACGAGAAAAAAAAAAAAACTACCAAAAACGAACTAATTCACCCACCCCCAACCGAGTTCCTCGCAGCAAGATTCAGGCTTGTACTGATGGCGTCGAGACAAAATCCTTTTCCATCGGATATAGATCTAGATGCCTATAGTGTACATCTTTGTTCACTGTTATGAGGGTACAAGGGAAGTAACCAACATCTCGTTCGTCCTGACGCCAGACAGCCAGATGATGTCCACTTAGTACTTAGGCTGTAAAAAAACTGCTGCGTTGAGACAAGTACACTTTATTTGATGAAAGATTGCTACTAATCTGGACTGTAAGTAAAACTTCAATTATATAAACTGGCTTATTATATCGAACAGATGCATTTCATCCTGATTAGATTCTACTTCAAGCTTTGTTTACACACATAGGCCAAGGCTACCGATATTTACTGAGTAGCATCCCTTATACTGCTAAGCAAGACTGTCGATCAATTTAATATAATAATAGGTTCCCAGCACTGAACAAGAACGTCTAGGCTAGTAGATCTATTGGTTCTTGTAGTCAAATTAGGTGTTGTTGTGGTTACATTTTGGTCTCGTCTCATCAATATTATTGTCAAGCCCCAGTCCAAATTCTCAAAGACAGACTCTGACTGATGGGTAGGCCTTACTATAGAGGCCTACTAAATCATCTAGAATCTAGATCTAGATATATCTAGATCTAGATCTAGATCTAGATATAGACTATAGATCTAGTCTCTTGGCCTCTATACTAGATTATAGATTAGATCTAGAAATCTAGATCTAGATTATAGATCTAGAAATCTAGATTTAGATCTAGATCTAGATGTAGATCTAGCCCCTACAGCGGCATAGTGACTAGATCTACAAGATGGAATTTAGAGATATCTAGATTCGGCGCTTTTTCGGTAGTTCCCACCCCCCTTATTTGATAGAGCCTGACCTACATCTAGATCTATATACGTTTGATTCGCGTTTGATTCGCGGCAAGCTAAGATGTCAAACCTAACAACTGCAAAACATTAAATTGTGGTAAAATTCAGGGGGGCATGCCCCCCTGAAACCCCCCACCTTGTTTTTATTAGCGGTCAGG